AGTGATCCCTAGTCATCCCAGTCATCCCTAGTCATCCCTAGTCATCCCAGTCATCCCTAGTCATCCCTAGTCATCCCTAGTGATCCCAGTCATCTCTAGTCATCTTTAGTGATTCTGTATCATTCCTATTTATCTCAGTCATCCCTAGTCATCTCTAGTCATCTTAGTCATCCTTAGTCATCTCTAGTCATCCCTAGTTATCCCTAGTCATCCTAGTCATCCCTAGTCATCCCTAGTCATTCCTAGGCATCCCTAGTTATCTCATTCATCCGTAGTCATTGCTTGTCTTCCCAGTCATTCCTAGTTATCCCTAGTCATCGCTGGCTGAGGGGGACATTGGGGGGTACCCATTACCGCAATACCGTAAGAAAAAATGGCAAGTACCGAAATAGCGCGTCGAAATTTGTCCAAATACCGATACCGCTTATTTTAATCACATTTATAATCGGTTCCGCATAGTTATAGTTACTTCCAACTAAAAAAAGAATTTAAAAACGACCAACTGGCAGATGGGTCTAATAGTTTCTCAGTGAGAATTTCTCTCGGAATTTTATAAGTTTCGGGTTTTTTTTAGGATTTTTAAACATCTTTTTAGGCACAGATCAATTTTTCAATGACGATTGCCTAAATTTCTGCGGGTTTCAAGTAAAATGGAGTACACTTAATTAATTTAAAATGGCGGATTGTTTCAGACTCTTCTTTAAGAATGAATGATGTCATCATGATATCGCTGCTATTTTTTTAGATAATTAATGTGTTTTCCAACTTCTTGATTTTGTCAGACACCTTTTTCACTTCGAAGGAAAAATAATGGAATTGCATTTTGCCAATACCTACACTCATTAAATTACGTCATTGTGACAATCGCATCTTTCCTAGTTGTTGGAAATTAAGCGCATATTATATTATTCTGTATTAATGTGGTGGCCGTCTCATGAGCGGCCTAAACAATCATCAGCGTCATCTTAAAACATAAGAACTATTATTATTATTATTATTATTATTATTATCATTATTATTGTCTTGTTGTTGTTGTCGATGATGACACTTATTACTGGGTTTACTTGTCTTCCGACCATCTATTTTAAGTTTATTACAAAGTGCAACAAGTGTTATTACAAAGTGCGACAGCTTTTTTAATTACAAAGTGCGATGGTCTGTTATTACAAAGTGCGACAGCTTTTTTATTACAAAGTGCGACAAGTGTTATTATAAAGTGCGACAGGTATTACAAAGTGTGACAATTTTATTACAAAGTGCGATAGGTACTACAAAGTGCGACAATTATTACAAAGTGCGACAGTACAGCATTCATGCAGGAAACGTCAAACATTGTAGAAGATACTTTTTCAGCATATAACATTTGCAAGGGTAGAATTTTCGAGGAAATAAATAAAAGCACAGCATGGGCTCTAGGTTCAGAAAAGTACATCAAACGAAGGACTCGATTTTGAAGCACGAGAATTTTTTGTAAATGGGTTTTGGCAGCTTGACCCCAAGCCGCCAAACCATATGTCAGATAAGGCAAGATCAATGATTGATAAATATTTAAAAGGGTTGTACGTGGGACGAAGTGCCTAAGACGGGCAACAACACCAACAGTTCTGCTTATTTTTAATGCAGCATTATTAATTTGAAATTTCCAGCTTAAATTGCTGTCCAATAGGACGCCAAGATATTTAACATGGTCTTCGCACTGAAGCGTGGTAGGAATTTGAGTACAGTTATCGATCATTTCAATGTTAACCGAGTAGTTCAACTTAAGTTGATATGGACGAAAGATAACGTAGTTTGACTTTTTGGCATTGAGCGTTAACTTATTTGCAGTGAGCCAGTCGGAGACTTTAAGCAGTTCGCTATTGACGGTTTTTCAAGAGATTTCAAATTAGTGTCAGCATACAACAAGCTCGTGTCAACAGCAAAGAGATAGAATGACAATTTCGCTGAAGAGTTGTGAATATTGTTAATATAGATTAAGAATAACAGAGGACCAAGCACAGACCCCTGTGGGACACCACATGAGATCATACATTCGGTAGATAAGTTAAAACCCACTTCAGTTACTTGTGATCGACCGAGAAGGTACGAGGCAAACCAAGCATTGATAATTCCTCTGATGCCATAACATTAATTTTTCAAATATCCGATTGAAAATAGACAGTAATGATATCGGACGATAATTACCAGGCTCAGTTTCACCGTCATTTTTGTACACAGGAACAACTTTCGCCTTTTTCAGTTTGGATGGAAAGATGCCCTTTTGCACAGATATGTTTATGATGATGGAGAGAGGGCCCGAGATGACGCATCTTGCGTCAGTTAAAATACGAATCGGACAAGAGTAGAGACCGTAAGTTTTATTTTAAGGGATCAAAAGTATCTCACGCTCAATTTCCTCTGGCGTAACTGGATCAAAGAAGAAAGAGCTTGGATTATAATTGGGAGACAAGTATTCGGTAAAATAGCGAGATCAGCGAGGTACATGAGCTAAGTTTACGTTTAATCCAAAATATGGGAGCTCACGGAATAAAGATAGAGTATCGCGAGAGCTTTGATCGTTGCTTCAAGCGAAGCACATTGGTTAGAAATCTGCTGCATTAGTCGAATACTCTCAGTTTTTGGAAACCTCTAAATACCAACACCTCTTCAGATGCCTAATGGCTGGTAGTTCTTTTCACATTCTAAGTCGGTCTTCTCCGGAATATCTTGGCAGCGCTTTCCCTGAATGCATCATTCCTGATGGCTCCAAGCCTTTTTTGATAAGCGCTTGTGTTGTCGTTTAGTTTCGGGATATTGGGATTTAGTTACGGGTGATGGGGTTGGGGAGGCCAGTGGAGACCTTTCATTTCATCTAAGGCTATCCTTCGCCTCCGAGCCAAGGACTCGCATGTCCCGTGACTCATCTCACGAGTCCTCAGAACTGGGAATAGATTACCATTCCCAGTGCTTGCTCGCGTAACACCAGCCTTAAAATTCTTACCAATTATAAGCGAGAGCTCTATTTCACGCGTGTGTGTGCGTTTCTCCCTCGGGAGTGGCTTTTTGTGTATAAATAAACACGTGTGCTCGCAAATTTGTCCAGTTTTGCTGCAAGGGCGGGAGGAATGGATTCATGCGCCGTCGAAGCCCCTTGTGGGGGTGTGTGTGGGGGGTGCGGTTGGTCTACACCCGTTTTGCTTTGTGATTCGTTTGTTTGACCCTCCCTTTCCCCCTATTTTTTCTCTTATCTTGTTCTAGTCCTATCCCCTTCTCGCCTGCGGACTCTCACGTCCGTAACTTATCTCTTGAGTCCCCAGGCTTTTGTTAAGCGAGCTGGGAATAGTGATTCCGTCTAGCGTGCGAACAGCGAGCGAAGCGAGCGGAGCCTTACCTGGGGGACAAAAATAGGCGGGGGAGCCTCAGAGGAGGAACCTGTAGACTTTGTTTTGATGCCGCCCAGCCATGATACCACATTCTGATATGATCTGATTGGTCAGATCGCTGACTGTGACGGCACGTGAGCGCAAATGTTATTGAAGCCAATGCCTTGAAGCGTAAAAACATCATAATTTGACGGGTCTAATTACCTTATTGACATGTTATTAACATGTTTTACGGGATAATTGCAAGTGGGCGGATGGGTGACCTCAAAACAAAGTCTACAAGCTCTCTAGCCTTTTACCCCAGGCCACTTCTTCTCTCGCTTCGCTGTTTGATTTTCTTTTCGCCCCGCTCCACTTAGGAACCTTTCCACAGCCTAGTTTCAGTCATTCACAAGCATTGCCATCCATCGCAAAGCGGTTGCCAGGAAACCAAAAATGCCCTGACCTCACTCTGGATGATGTCAAGGCTGACACAACCACACTCGATAGTAATCAATGCAGGATGCACTATCATGTTTTATTCAGAAAACGTGACGTGTTCATTCATCATCTGAGAAACAATGTTTACTATCGGTGAATCACGACCAATATCTCGGGCACATGAAAGAGAACAGCAAACACAACTACGGTAGATTCAACAAGTGACTGGGAAGGAATCTTCGCCGGGGAAGATTTACCACCGAAACTCGGCCAGACCGAGAACGACGACTTAAGTAGAAACAGCGGAGAACATCGCTTAGCGCGCCTGTTGAACCAGAGAGTGAATTTTTTTCATCCGGCGACCGAAATAATGCAAAAAAGCTTTTAAAATACACGTTTAAGCTAATTTTGCTCAAATGCATCTTTAAATATTCATGCAAAATATAGCTTTAGGAGCTCCAAACAGCGTCTACCGGATGAGTGTCACAGAAAAATGCTATAAATACCAAACGTTTTCTTGTACCATTTTAAATTATACGATTGTGTCTTCAGAAGCTGTATGTTTCCTGATCTAAGGCTACGGCAAGGTCTATAAAGGTCTAATAGATCCCGGAAATAAAGAGGTGCCATACCATTCACCACTTTATATGTAAATAACAACATCTTAAATTCTACGCGCTGCTCAACTGGCAACCAAGCTGGTACTGGCGATATGTGATCATGCTTCCTAGAAAATCTAACTAGCCTAGCGGCAGAGTTCAACACGTATTACAGGCGCTTGATCTTATACTTAGGAGGGCCATACAGGAGTGCGTTACAAATATCTAACTTAGAAGTCACGAAAGCGTGCACAAAGTCTTAGCGGCTTCCATACTGAGAAACTTTCTAATTCTCGAAATTGATCTAATTGAGTGAAAAGCAAATTTACATATTTGCTCCATCTGTTTATCAAAACTAAGATTGGAGTAAAAAATAACCCCAATGTTCCTTGCATGATCAGTGGGCTTGAGGTTAGCGCTAGCTACTTGCAGACAGTACAGGTTGGGAGCAGGCCGATGCTTGGCGTGGAAGATTAGGATCTTCGTTTTGTTATCATTTAACTGTAAGTTGTTGTGCAGGATCCAGGCATTGACACTAGAGAGCACCCTTGTGACCAACATAAAATCAAAATCCCCACCGTCGCCTCTAGCGTTACGATTTCCTCGTAAGTACTAGGAGTGTTACAACACGGTTACAGAACTCAATCCATTGTCAAACTTATTTGTGTGAAAGTTTCCTTACGCAGCTTTGTGCTGATTTTTTGCACCATAATCTCTACACGTTAGTATCAATCATAATTTTTTATTTTTTAGGACATCGTCTCCAGCATTTGATTGCGACGCCTTTCCAGGTTTTAACAAAATTGCTCCTTTTTCATTCTAACAAGACAAAGCAATAAATACTTCACAGTGTCACTCTTTGTCCGGTACCCATCTTCTTTATCGTGATTTGACATTCTACTACTGTGTGGTCGCCTTTCTCTTTAACAGTGACTTGTCTGTTTCTTGGACCGACCAGAATCGGTTAAATTAGAACTTAACTCAACCGCACTGAAACTGCCTTCAGCACTATTGGAACCATGTCCGACAGTGCATTTAGTTTCCAAGGCATTTTTTCAATATTCTTCATCATTCGAACCACAAGGGGTCTCGTTCTCTTTACAAAAAAGGTTTGTGTGTAAGCTGTGCTTGCTATTGGATTTCATTTTACTCCTTTTTGCAGGAGAGGTAGGTGCAAGTTGAAATTCCTCCTGCTTGATCGTTTCATCGGTGGTAGTTCTGGCCGAGGAAAGAGACGACATGACGCGTTCTGATACTGTTGTGCTTCGAGAGGTGGTTCTGGAACTTCTCCCGATCAGCTTCTGTAATATTTCTCCTGATAAGGTAACCTGGAGAAATGAATACACATTTTAGTAGTATAGCAACGGAGCCTCCGCGCGCGCAAGCGTGGAGCTCCCATACTTAAGAGAAAATGGTAAACTATTCATCCGAGAAAATTTGGTCATGACGTCAACATACGTCCGTACGGACTCTCCGGGTAGGGGTAAGTAGAAACGAATTCCTCCCCTCTCCGCTAGAGAGTTTTGTCCCCTATTGTTTCAAAAGGCTTTAGAAATGATTGGCAAATCTGAGTCTATCTACTTAGCCAATGTTTGGTGGTTTTTTGCGGCCGATAATTTGACTTTTGAGGAGGTTATGGTTGATTTCAGAAAGAAAATACCCTGTACACTGATTTCGAGGGAGAAAAGCTTGCAAGGATATGCCTGGGAAAAATAATATCCTGCACTGAAAAAAATTTCCCTCATGACGTATACAATGCTGAAAAAAAAACCTTACACCGTTATATCTCAGGGAAAAAACTCCAGAGGTTTGGGGAAAAAATTCTCGCCCAAGTTAAATCGCCCATACCCCCTCCCCCACAAAAGTCAAATGGGCAACCACATAGGGGGTGAGGAAGAAGCCGGCGAATTTGAAATCTTAGCAGATGTCATCCGTAAACAAAATGGCTGGCGCGCGTACATCATGTGGTGGTTTTTCAAGATTGAAAATACGCCGATGAAAGACACAAGTGGAAAGAGAAAGTTCAAACGAGTTCTCAGATTCCTTTTTGTGGACAAACGAGAGCTTTTCGCCATGAAATTGTCTTTCCAGGAATTCAACCTTATTTGCCCTCTGAAATCTATTCGCTATTGTTTTCTCCCATTCTACAGCATTACCATATTTCGGAAAGATTTAAGAGGGCAACCAAGCGCGGTAAATTCTCGGGTGCTGCATGGGAATTTGATGTTGTGCTAAACTCGAGACAATAGGAAGTCTCAGAGCAAAAACTTAGCCAAATACATGACATCGCTTCAATATTTACTCACTTTTGCGCCCATGTTAGACAACTTTAGAAGTTTTCAATGGACACGAAATTTGGGGATTTAATAGTACCCTGATCAATTAATGTACCAAAAAAGTTTTAAAAAAATCTATCGACGAATATTGCTTTAATCGTTGTTTCCGTGAAAGTAGCCTTCGAAAATACAAAAAAGGCTCAGCATTGAGTTTTATCCTGATTCATACGTTTTCATGTGTTTCGAAATCGCGCAAGTGTACTTGTGTTCAACGGCTTCTAGAGTAGATAAGGGTAATTTGCAAAACGAATGAGTGATAAAACCCTTTCGAAAAAATCTAAAAGTACCAAATCCAGTCTTCAGGGCATGCATAATTTATACCCTTTTTATAGAAATTTTAAGATATCTCGAAATTCCTCTTATAGATTTTTGTAAAACTTCGCACAGCAGAAGACATTTATCCAAAGAACACGTAGCGTAAAGCATTTCAAAAGAAAAAGCCGAACAGGGCTGAAATTTGATTTAGAGCTAAAACCATTGTGACGTCATTGCCACGTGACATTTATTCCGATCGCCCAAAAAACAATACCATACTAAAGTTTAGTCTAAGTGTAATCCATTTGTCATAATCGTTTTGTTTAAGGATAAGAGATTCAAAGATGGAAGGTGTGCCTACAACAAATCCTGGGTCGGGCCACCTTAATTGCTGGCAACACACGAAAAGTCTCTCTTGGCAAAAGCGACAGAATTTCGCAACGAAATCAACAACATATGAAAAGCACAGAAATTATGACCTTTCAGTCTCTCAAAGGCTTACAGCGAGACAGCCGAAAACAGACCTAGAGCACACCTTCCTTGAGCCCAGAATTGGTTTTTTAAGACAAAACCACTTAAACTAAGTACCCACGAAGCGTTTTTATGCATGTACAAAATATTCTTGTAACACGAGCACAACGAAATACTTGAATTCTCTCTGTCAACAACTTCACTTCTATCCACAACCACGCACAATCTTTCCACACTTGATACGGGCGAAATCAAATTACTCGGAAAAACTTTCTCTACATAAATCATCACATGTAAATTTTTCTCACGCAGTCGATTTATTCAAGATTCCGGACGTAGACAAGCGGTTTTGAAAAGGACACAGAAAGGACCGCCTTCAAAACAATTTTTAGCTAAGTCTCTGACCTGGTCAAAATCAGCATCAATTTGTTCTCGCCAAATAGATTTGACTCCTATAACCTACTTTTGAGGCCAGAGACTCGTCGCCGTCCGGGAAAAGCACGCACTTTTAAATCATGGTTCGTACAACTTCAGACAAACAAATTTTAAGGACTTTTCAAGGACAAATTACAGTTTCAAGGACTAAGATCGACATTCTTTAACTCCTTTTTATCAACCTATTGGCTAAAGCATGTCATGGAGTCATCATTTACCACTTTTACTTCTTCGACCATCGTTGATCACATTATGTTATACTACTTTCCACAACAAGACTTTGCAAAATGACTGGGTATGACTTGCAATTGCATCTGAGGTACGGAAATAGCATTTGAAAAAGAGAAACAGAAATATAATACTGTTCATGCACAAAAATGTTTTTACGTTACCTGTGAGTTTTACAGGTTCTTACACCGAGGATAAGCCAAATTTTCCTCAGCAAAATAACCTAATTTTACAGAAGAAAGGTGTCTGGTGTGGACAAGGTGTGAATTTGAAGGACTTTTCAAAACCTAATGGAGAAATCAAGTACTTTTCAAGGACCTAAACCAAATTCAAGGACTTTTCAAGACAACTGGTAAAAGTCAAGACCTTTTCAAGATTGTACGAGCCATGTAAATTCATGTTGTTGCGCTGTAAGGCTAGTAAGTAAGACACATCGCCGCTTCCGCAGTTGGACACTGATAAATCTAAAATATCATGACCAAAAAAACGGCAGTACTGAAATGGTACACTTGGCCGGATAAGTCCAATCCTCAGCCTGGGTAGAGGGTAGATGTGTACAACTCCAACACAGCGAGCGTGGGTCGCGTCTTCACAAACAGTGCAGATAAAACATTTCTGGTCGTGGCGAAAAATCTTGTCATTACATTGATGGCAAACAGGAGCCGAATTGCGTAAGGGTTGTTGCGACACGGGCTTTCCTTGTTCGGGCCCAGGGTCTTTGGCAACGTCATCACTCTTTAGTAGCAGTTGAAACGTGACGATACCGTTTGCGAAATAGGGAATACGTGACTCCACATGAGTGATGCTTAAAGTTAATAAACTCACCTCAGTAGATTCTTCTCCATTTTCTCTGTACAGAGCTTGAAGATCAGCCTCGATTGCAAGCAATCTCCTTTTCATTTCTCTCATTTCTTTCTCTTCTCTGAGAATTCTCTCTCCGAGCCCTAAAAGAACAAACAGAATGTCCTTCCGTTCTAAAATTTAAAACACTGATAGCAAATGACGCTATCTCTTACCAGTGGTGTCAGCATCTACTTTTACACTTGAAGCATCTTCCGACAATTGATCCAAGTCCCTAAGAGGCTTCCATGTTTCTTCCGTGGTTAATAAATCCATTTCTTCCTCTGGCACAAGGTCATGGAGTTTACTACAAAAAAAATTACAATACAATAAACCTACTATGACAGAGTTACTGAAGAATTGTAGGATTAATAAAAAGTAGCCTACATAGCACGCGTCTCTTTCTAATGGCTACCGACTTCCATTCTTGTCTGACTTACTTGTGATGACTGCGTGTTGTAAATGTCGGCTGCAACCATGTGAAATCATGTGGAATGACGACCGTTGAGAATAAACGGGCGGCTGCTTGTTTCGTAGAAAAAATTTTTCTCTAGGCTTAGACCAACACTAACATTTTTCTGTGACAAAATGCTGCGTGGATTTTCTGCGTAAAATGCCTTTGAAGACGACTTTTTGGCGCAGGCTGTAAGTTTGGGGTACACAAAAATAAGCAAAATAAACCACGTTAATGACGTTAATAGCGCGATTTATCGACAACGTTCTTCCCTTGTCATGTTACTGGAAATTTAAACCGTCCCAGAAGTGCTTATGATCGAGATACAATGCGTACAATGTAAATACACGACTCTCAGAACTTATAAAATCAACACCGAGTGTTGATGTTTTCCTCACTCCCGAGGTGGCGTGAGTCAATGCATGCCCAATGTTGCCCAAAGTACACTTCGGCACTACCAGCGACGATATGTCGTGTTCATATCGGGGAACTTCGGAGCGAGCCGAAGATCGTCTACGCTGAGTGACTACTGCGGACTTATTTGCATATCTCAATCCACAGCGATAACTTCGTGAAATACCCTTTCGGTATTCAGGAGAAAAAAAAGAAACCCTTACCGGTCAATATTAGCAAGCGAGGTAACTGATTCACTGTCCAGCGTAAATCCTTCACCAGCAGGAAGAGATAAGCCGTCTTCGGAATAGGCATTCTGATAAAAACAATTGTCATTATTAACAAAAGGCGAAGACTCTACTGGTTTTCAGATGACCACTTAATCACAGATAACAGACTCAGGATCGATTAAGGCGTAAGTCCCAGTCTACACATTCGACACAAGAAACACACTGACGTAGCAACGGGATAATGAGAGTCTTTTTGCTTCTTGAAAAAACGTAACAAAAGGCAAGCAGGATCTGCAGGTCTGTGCCGAGTCTGCTATGTTGGTTCTGTTGATGTTTGCCTCATTGGTGTAAACTAAGCCTAACAGATCATGAACAAAGATAACGTTTGCATTTTTGGTTTTTCACATTCTGCTCAAAACGTACCCTGTGAGCAGTGGTTTCTCAGTTCAGGCCGGACGACACGCTACGAAGGGACAGCAACCACTGCGAGCGAACGGTCGCATTTCCATCGAGTATGCCAACCACGTGAAGCCTACGTCAAAACGTGAAATGAGATAACCTCCTCTTGATTTGCAGGAAACATTAGGGATTAGATTAAATTTTACAGAGACATTGTTTAATGATAAAATAATAATTTTATTCAACTTTGAAAATATGTACACACTTTTACAGAAACATTTGAAGTAACAATTTAAAAGCATTATACAACATTAAGAATTATATAAATCAGAAAAATACAATCACTGTGTCAATAACCATTTCCAAAAAACTTTCCTTGCGGTTTAGATGCGATCAATAACTCTAGCAGGTAGTTCAGTATTTTAAGTTTAGGAGGGTTGTTGTTTATTTCGTAGATCGCGCTTTAAGTCAATGCTATAAGCCACAGTTGTATCAAATTGGGAAATCGTAATTTTGTGTCCAAGTTTGCGGAAAGAATAGACGACAGCACTCTGTGATTTTATTAATAAGTGATCGGTCAAAACCTCTCATTCATAGAGCAGATTTTCAAATTTAAAGTTTGCTAGCAAGATACAACCATTTAAAGAGGGCTTTTCAGTGACAATGATAATACGTCAAAAGGGGAGTAAATCTAAACATTACAAAATTACAGTAATAAAATGTTTTATAGAAAAATTAAGAAAGCTAAAAAGTTAATAAATATTCAATAGAATTACAGCTCTAAGTTTACGCTTAAAATCACAAGCAGAGTTACAGAGTTTAAGGGAATATCTAAACTGTTCCGCAGACTTAAGGTAAAAGAATGTCCTTTGTCCGGATTTAGTTTTCTATAAGGATATATGTAGAAGTTGGGAGCTTCTAGTCGTGCGACCCCTTACCTCACCACGTGTTAGAAAATTCGATGACAGGGAAGTGGGAGCGGAGCCAGTCATACACTTAAAAGCAAGCACGGCGTCACGGAGATATAGCTGAGATTTAATAGATAGCCAGTGCAGTTCACGGTTCTTTCAGAAGCGGAGTAACGTGGTCAATTTTCTGGAACCACTGATAATCCGGGCTGCAAAGTTCTGGACCGCTTGGAGCTTGAGGAGGCTACTGTCCGCTGCATTAGACCAGACGGAAGAGCAATAAAACAACTTACTTAACACTAAAGTATCAATTATTGTGGTTAAAACCGATCTGTCAAACACGTGCTTAACACGATTAATTTGAGCTAAACTTGAGAAGCAGGAAGAAACTGTTCTAACAACATGCTCGTGAAAAGTAAGGCTCGAGTCAAAAGTCACGCCTAGATCTTTGACAACGAGCGCCAGTATTAGTTTTTTTCGTAAGAAAGAGAGACGAATATCCGGGAGATTTTGTAACCTTTGTCGACTTCCATAAACAGTAAGCTTAGTTTTGTCAGGATTCAAGAGAAGACGATTTTCGAAATACCAGTTTCGAATATGTCGGAGGTCAACGTTCAAATCAGCATCAGCCTTAGTCCAGTCATAGGCTGGGAAAGAAATGCAAAGTTTTGTGTCATCAACGTAACTTTCGGTAAGACAGGACCGAGGGCAAGTGATAAAGCGTTTACATAAATACTAAACAAAATAGGTCCAAGAATGCTTCTTTGTGCCACGCCTGATACGACGGGTAGAGGATCAGACAACTCAGCATTTATACGCACAACTTGTCGTTTGTCGGAGATAGCTGGTGACCCAAGCAACAATTGATGGCGAGATTCCAATATCCAGTAGTTTATTTAGCAAAATTCCATGATTTACTGTATCGAAAGCCTTGCTCATATCAAGAAAAACAACAGCGGTAATTAACTTCTCGTCAATCGCACTTAAGAGCCAATGTGTGTAATTTTCGTAAATCGGTTGAAAGTCGTGAATTTTTTAATTTCTTCATATTTTGCCCAAATAATCTCTACAGTAAACTAATTTCAAAAATCACGTTAAACTTGTAACAGCTTTTTATTTTTTCAGGAATCAGGCAAAGTTTGAAAAACTCTAAATCGACGTTCTTTCGAGTATTAAATTAGCGTAAACATTAGCACAACACTGTTGCATCCTTTTGCACAGCTCTTCCAACATTGTTGGGGCCACGTGGTCTCCAAAGTCTTGTTTCCTCTCACGATACACAAATTGTTAAGAGTTGTTGCGTCCGTTTGCACGTAGCTTAAGCAAATGGCGACAGCCTTAACTTGTTTTTTAATTTACTCGTCCATGGTGCTGGACGACGACTCGATCAAAGAAGCAAACAGTCACTCGCAGTGGTTCCTCTTCCTTCGTAGCGTAGCGTCGAGCATGGAGAAGCCCCTACTCGTAGGGCACTCAAAACGTAAAAATAACAACATAAAGCGAGATTGGAAGGACAGAAAAGCCAGTCCAGGTCTTAACATCTACGTTATCAGAGTTAACAAAAAAAGGTTACCTCCACCATCAATAAATCTGTTTCATCGGACAAAAGTTGCTCCAAACGTTTCTTCTCCGCTTCTGTCATGGGAATCATATTCCCAGCATCAGCAGCCAGCTAAAACAAAAACAAAAACATGAATATAAAAATCCACTCATAGCAGCATTTTACATTCCTGTCAAATATCTCTCAAAATATAATTAGCGAATGTGACTGGTGGGTTTTACCCTAATTCAATTGTTTCTGCTTCATTCTGTTAATAGACATCGAAACGAACGCTACCTCAATATTTCGCTTGACAAAATTCTGTTCTTTTCCCTTTGTTTTGGAATGTTTGCTCCCTTTTCTCCCGCGTGATTTTTTAGAGTTTTTGCTTTCCACATCATCGATATCTTGTTCAGCCCAAGAATCACAGCTGGAACTGATCCCTAGGAAGAGAAAATATCAGTACCCTCCCCTCAAACAAAAACAGGGAGAAACACTCTCAACGCCTTTTGGTTGAGGGGAGGAGGCGGCTGTACACAGGCTAACACCAGTCTGTATTCAAGACTACTAACATGACTGCTAATGCCGAACTCAGTCAAATCTAAGCATGCACATTCACACACACGTCGAGAGTTTCCTCGCAACTGGCTTTGCTCTCACCTACCTTGTTTAAAAGTATAACACGGAAAAGCGTCCCGTGTAAGGCTGGTGTTGGGCCAATGGAACATTACTAATTTCTAATAATTGTGAGATCACCAATCAGTCAGAACAATTGTCGTCAGATGCCTCAACCCAGAACGATTTTTCCTGCCTAAAGTTCTACCTTGGAGCCTTACAACGTGTCAAATACCTGACCTGATTTATAGTGACGAAATTAACATGGAGTACGTTTGGGAAAAATGTGCAGATACACCCCACACATCACTTCCCTTTAGGAATTTTGCCTGAGAAGCTGACCAAAAATAATATCACTTGTAGTGCAGAAACTCTAGACGAGACTCTCTCCCCCCAAGCAGCTTAGCTAACTAGCATACTTAGCTAAAAAGTATGCAAGAATCTCCTAACGGCTACATTCCACACATTGTTTCCTTAGATTTTGCAGATGGTCTACTTATAAGCGGATTGAAGCCTGAGGTCTTAAACAAATGTCAGATCAAAATTCAGATAAAAATGCATCAATACAATAAACCTTTTCTGTGTTACCTCGATCTGATGGTGAGGGCAGGTGATCATGAGAGAGAGGCTGAGTAGCAAATAATGGCGTGACTGGCACTGATTCAATATCATCTGTAAAAACAAAAACAATTTAAATGATTACCTGGAAGAGACATTCCTTTAATAAAAAGTGATCAAATCACGTTAATTTAAGCTCATTTTATATTCATTTTAGTCCTCATTGGGAGGATTTTTTTGTCTGTTCTTTCACTATATTTGTTCAGCTGTAAGAAGATCAATTTGAAAACCTGATGCGTGCATCAGATGTGAATGGAATCATAACATTCAATACACCATTACTATAGTTGTATTTAAATCTGTATGATTGTCATAGCCACTAATCGAAGTAACCTGGTTGACGATCACAAAGCTTAAGCGGGGCTCACATGTAAAACAGCTAACATTTCGTGACGTCACCGTTTTCCGCGAAATGACGTCTAAGGAACGAGAGCCACAATTTTCATGTGATATAATGCCGTGTCACGACCAAGCTCGGACAAATCTGAGTAGTGCTGTCCCATGTACTGACATGTCATTAGTATGGAATTTCTAGCGCTAGTTCCTAAGACGTCATTTCGCGGTGAACGGTGGCGTCGGCGTCACTAAGTGTCGGCTGCTTTCTCAGGCTAACTCGTGAAAAAACCAACCGTTCGGCGTACAGTACAACCTTGGTAACTCGAACTCTGAAGGGAAACAAAAAACAGTTCGAAATAGTTGTGTCTCGAGTTATTGGGGTCGATCGAGAAACTTTAACACGATAAGGTATTCTTATTCTGATAAGTTGGTATCACTCATAACGTTCGAAAGTGACTATCAAATACTTGATCTGTTCTTTGCACAAATTAAAATCAAACTGCTGTACTGCAAGTTTAAGAAGTTTAACAGATTTTTACGACAAGAAGAACTAATGGGGTGGTGTCCGTGGTGAGTTGCAAGAACCAGAATTCTAGTTACTGGGGTATATTACGATAAAGGGAAACGAGATTTAGTTCGAGTTGGCGAGGAATTCGACTTGTTCCAGCTCGAACCGAGTAAAATAGGTGAAAAGTGGGGTCAACTCCAAGGGAAATGAGACTTAGCGGAGAGTTATCAGAGGTTCGAGTTACCGGGGTTCTACTCACTAGTTAGTGAAATACAGTGTGTGTATGAAAAAGAACTTTGAGTTTCCTTTACATGACTTGTCGGTGCCTCATATGTAACAACGTAACCATGATGAGGATCGCCGGGAACAAAACATGTGAATCACACTCTTGTGTAAACCTTGTCTTTCCCTGTGAGCAGGAGGCAGTTTGCAGGGTATTAACTCAAATATAACATGTATGCCAAACGTTTTAACGTGACTTCTTTTGAAATAGTGACATTCCAGAAGTATTTCTGGTGATCACAGTTTTCTTAGAATAACTTAAATAATAATTTTTATTTAGTTACAGCTAAAAATGTCTGGCTGATGGCTATGAGCCTTGTAATAATGTAGTTACTGTAGCTGTTTTAACCTGGTTGATTGTCATCCGTTGGTGGACCCAGAGCAAGTGCATGGCCAACACCTAATTCCATTTTGCCATGTCCCTCTTGCTCTCGTAGCTGGTCTAGTTGGCTAATTTCCTCTCTCCATTTCTTTTCCAGCCGCCTTCGGTGAGTTTTAACATCCTTCTCTCTCTATTAAATTGAAATAAAATAAGAACAAGTAAGCAAACAAACAGCTAACACGACTGGGCCATAAAGAGATGTAGAATGCAAAAGTTAAAATTTGGACATCGGCCTGAAATACAGCACCTTTTTCTTTAAATACGTGTTCTTGTTCAACCCAACCCTTTTGTGAAAGATCTTTCCCTTTGTTCTTGGGTATGCTTTTGTATGACAATGAGCTTGAAATAATGGATAATAATATTTTAACCAAATTTTAAAGATAAAACGGAACCCCTACAAACAGTAAATATGATATAAGTGCTTTCTACTCTAAATTCTGAGTCTGCTTTGTAATCTGTCAAAAACCCAAAGTGGTATTTTTTTCAGTTAAAAGGGACAAAGCATGAGCAAACTGAACTTATTCATTTGTATTCAGTTCTCTATCTGGCTTTTGTTCCAAATGACAAAATTAAAGCCTTCAAAGTTTGGGCATGAACAGGGGGCAAAATTTTTCAGATAGTTTTTGTACAAAAAAGTTCACTGTCCCTTTAACCATGACCTTTCACTTTTTCTTTTACCCCCCCCCCCCTGTCCTTTTTTTTTTTTTTCTTCTTAATTATTCGCTTTTTTCCCATGTTTTTTCTAGAATCGCTAGTACTTGTCCCTTAGATATTTTCACCATTTATCGGCTTTTTGCACCACTCAAATTCTACATTGTAAAAAACACAAATATGTTTTTTTTGTGTTAAAAAGGACAAAAGTAGAGACAAATGAATTTTATTCATTTTTTTCCCTTTCTGTTTGGGGCTTTGTTCCCAAGAAAAAAAATAAACCCTTTAAAATTTTGGGCAATAACAGGGGGCAAAATTTTCCAAAAGTTTTTTTAAAAAAAAATTCCCCCCCCCCTTTACCCATTTCTTTTCTTTTTTTTTTTTCCCCCCCCCCCCCCTGTTCTTTTTTTCTTTTTTCTAACTAATTACTAGGTTTTTGCACAAGTTTTCACCAAGACCCGTAGTACTTAGCCCCTAAGTATTTACAAGAATTACTGGACGTTTACAAGCCTAATAGATCACTGTGCTCCTCAACTGATGCGATTAGACTCATTTGCAGACTGAACCTGCCTCTGTGTGATATGAAGTCGTATGGACTGACTTCCTTTTCTGTTTGTGGTCCCAAGCTGTGGAACGCACTTCCATCTGAATTACGCGTCATAGAGGGTCTAAGGCTAAGCTAAAAACACACCTTTTTAAGGCATATTTTAATTAAGTTTTGTTTGTCAGTTTTAATTATTTATTTAATATATTTATTTTTATTTCATTGGTTGAGAATTGTAAAGAGCTTAGAACAACTTTTATAGGCGCTATAGAAATGTTAGTCATCATTATTATTATTATGGCAGTACAAACGTCTGGATGGCCAGAGTAAAAAGTAAAAGCTTTGGCTGGGCCAAAATTTCTAGTAACAATTATACAATAATTTGCACAAAAAAAAACTGGGAAAAAATGATTTGATAAAAGTGTCATAAAAATATAAAAGAAAAAAAAGAAGGTCCTACAAGCTTTATGGACGTCTTAATTATAAAATAAAAATGTTCATAAGTTAAAAACCATTGTTCATAGTAGCTGTCCATTAAATTATGAGAACGTCTAAGGTATGTCAATAAAATTATGATAGCGAATAATGGGACGTCCCAGAAGGCGGTCGCATGCTCATTCTCATACAGCGACTTGGGTGAGAACCACAGTTCAACTTAACTAATGAGATCTAAAGATCTAAGGACTTGAAAGAA